AGTATTGCTGAATCGTTGTATCGCTGAACCAGAAGTGACACAAAGCGTGCCATTTTCACTCGCAAATTATTTTCAATATTTTGCATTAAAATCTCGCGACACCAAATGGGGTCGCGAACCATAGTTTAAGAAGCCCTGACTTAACCAATAAAAATTTACTGGTATGTTTTAATGATAGTTCTGTATAGTTGACAGTTTTAAAAAATCCGTTAAAATATTTGATATATTTATTCCGCTCTCCGATTTTATATTACTCACGGATTTCAATGTTAAATCAATGATATTACGATTTCATATATCCCATCTCTAAACGGATTTAGAAAAAACGTGTACAATTCTTGTATAATGTTAAAAAATTAACAGTTACTTCGACAGCGTCATTTCAACTAAATTTAATGAATGAGAGAGATGCACGAGGTACAGAAAAAGCTCTAGAATTTACAGTACGGCCTCGATTATCCGACCCCCAATTAACTGAGTCCTAGTCGGCAAATTTCAAATGTCCGCTAGTGATGTGGCGCTACAATATTTGGCTGTGTCTTGGCTACTTTATTATTATTTTTACGTGTTTTAGCTGGCAACACTCATTCGACCATGAAAGGGAGCCAGTACTGTAGTATTTAAACGAGGCTTAATTTTCTAATTTTTAACGATACAATAGCGACGATTATTATTTAAAAATTTTGTAGTCTTAACACCGATGAAAATTCAACGCGAAGTAGGTTAATAGCGATATACTAATTACATGGAATATAATAATATACTACACTAATAATGGATTTTTTCATACTTTTCGGTTATCCGAACAACCCGTCCCCAATTGAGTCGGATAATCGAAGCTGTACTGTATTTTCCTTAAATTTACGATTTATGTATCCGTTTGTCATAAAAATTTCTTTTTCCACTTTGTCCCAAGACTACAAATATTCGAGTACAAAGTAACCAGTTTCAACTTGTTTCTCCTCAAGTAATTAAATAATTAAGAGATTAGGGAATTGGGGACATAAACAAAACCCTGATGAAAAAGCCGAAATTTTGCTTAAACAAAAGCTTAACCGAACCATCTCTAGCCGAGTACAGTGGAGACTGACTTCTTCGTATTATTAATGTAATAAAGACAGAAATTTTTCCAGTTGAATGAGAGTGACCGAAAAGTTGTAAATTTTGGAAACTTCCGAGGACACTTGGTCCTAAAACGAATTAGAAAACAAATGACTATTAAGTTTAACATATTTAGATTTTTACAGCTATGGTGAGAAACATTTAAAATCTACAACAGCCCTGTCGCGTCCTTTGAGATTTACTAGTGATGCGACAAAAGAAGTATTTGACATTGACCAGTATCGGCACCCTGGGAATTTGGCAGTCCGAGTGTATGCACGCTCTGCAACCGTCTTCGATTCCATCCATTAGCCACTCGTAGGGAGCTATTTCACTAAGTGCATTGTTTTAAGATTTAAAAAGTAAAGAATATTTTATATTTTTATGTACGTTTCTTTGCAAAGCTATATTTAATTATAATTTTCTTTAAAAGTATATTCATATAATTGAAGAATATTTTGTATGTACCAGTACATCCACCACATATTTTATTTCACCAAGTAAGTTTTTATTATTTTATTTTTAATTGTACCCCTTATATCGTGGCTAGCGATTCGGAATGTAATTGTGATATTAAAAATGCATTTAGAGAAGTCTACGGTTTTTACTGGCTTATCGAATAAACGATACGAATGGACCTTAAAAACCATCACTGACGCGCAATTGACTGATTGCCCCTTGATGTCGGCTTCTTACAGAAACACAGCTTCCCTATCATCAAATGTCACGGCACGCCAATGAAATGATTAATTATCGTATTTTTAATGGAAAATCGTTATATAATTTATATATTTACAATTGCATATGAAATAGAAAAAAAATCAAACTTCAAAACTTCTACATATATAACGTACTGTATGCATTATAAAATACTGAAGTTTATTTCTGAGAACCTGTTTCTCGGAAATAGGAAGAAGTGAAGTATTAATCTGTATTAAAGCGAATCAATTAATGTTCAGTTTAAACTGGATCTCTAAATGTAATTTGCATGAAATAATCTGAGCAGTTTTTGTAATTACCTGTTTTATATATGCAAAAGTATAGGTCAAATTTCCGCTCGATTAAATATTAAAAAAATCTACTTCATTGAGAACGATGGAATATATATTAGCATTGTTAAAAATCAATTCCGAAAGTATAGACAATAATAATAAATCTTTAACGATTTTAGTCCAATAACTTACAAAAGTAAAGCTTATCTTTAAACTTTGCAAATATACAAAACCATCTTTTTTAATCTACCATTTTTATATTATATGCTTATTAGTAAAATGCGAGGTATTTTACTAATAAACATATAATAGGTGACAGCATTTTACTAATAAACATATTTCAATAGCTGACAGTATTTCATGTTTTGGTGTTATATACTTAACACATTTCCTCAATCTGAAGATGAATTAGAATTTCATGAAGTTTTGAATTAAAAACTTTAAATTACATAATTTTCTTCCTGCTTGAAATATTACATTTATGCTAGATTAAAACACTGAGGTAACTCTGGTATTAGTTTGGCAAGTTCTTTTCATGATACATGTAGATTTCATGGTTAATAAAACCTATGAAAAATTCGCAAATGTTATTCTACTACTGACATGTTAAGTTTTAATTTATTTAATTGTAATTTTCAAACAGAATTTAAATTTTATATATATATTTTAAACTTAAGATATTCTGTATTTTCACATTAATCAATTCAATTATTTTCTATCTGTAAAGAAATATTTAAAAAGCTTGTTTTTCTTGTATGTTCAACTCTCTATTACTAATATATTTATTTTGCAGCTATTTATTTCTTTGTTTAATGATCTATCAACTTACCTATTTATTAATAAAAATACCTTTTAAAAAATTTTGTCCAGATAAATAAAATTATAAATCTGGACAAGAAATGATATTACACAACTATGAATATGGATAATTATACATCAGAATCTCTAGAATAAATGTTATCATGTTCTTTTTACTGTATGGGAAATTCATTGATTATTATTAAATTCTGCAACTGAGGTACTCAGTGGAAAAAAGCACATGTCACATCTATGGAATCTTTTGTACATTGAGGCAAGCTCTGTTTATCTTGTGTTTTATTTAAGAACTGTTACTGGAAAGATGCAAAGTAAAAATCCTCAAGTCAGATTTCAAATTTCCCATTTCTTGTAAAATTAGTTTTATGGCATGTGCTTGTTTTCCATCCAGGCTCCTCATATATAATTTAATTACATAAATTTATATACTAATCATATCCCTATCATATCTTTTTAAATATAGACTGAAATTCATTTAAATTTTCTCACATCTTAAATCTATAAAAATTTCTCTTAATTATTCCAATCTACAAGTAATTCCGATATTTTTCAATTAATCATAAAAGATTTTTGGAATTAAACAGCCACAGATGAAAACGGTTTTATATACATAAAGCAATCAATTTGATGATTTTAAGACATTTAAAAAATTATAAAGTTATCTTCTTTTATATTAATGGCCAGGTGGCTCAGACATCAGCCCACTGCTTTAGAACACACAATCTTTAATCTAGATAAATTCAGAAATTTTTATGTCTGGTCCCATCTTCACCATACGGATGTCCAATTGTGAGCCTGGTCAAGACCTTTTTGCATCAAAAGGGTAAATAAATTTTTTAATCTTTATAACATGTTCTTTCAAAACTTTCTTAACAAAAAAATATATATATATTTAAAATCATTCACTGCTGAGTCAGAAAGGAATGGCATATTTTATACATTAAATTCAAGAGAATTAATACAAACTTATAATTAAATTGTATCTTTGATTTAAAATATTTTTAGCTTTAATTTTGATTGGTATTAGATATTCATACGTTTACAGTAGAACTCGATTATGAGGTTAGTATAGAGTATAATATTCAAGTAATCATTTGTTTAAATGCTGATGTTTAAATATAAAAAAGTACAAAAATCTCTGTAATAATATATTCTTGTATAGTTTGTAAATATGCACATTCATTAGCTAAATTAATAACACTTTTGTTGTTTATAAGTAAATGCATTTATAAAAAAACATTTTGGTCAGTGGTAATTCACTGTGCTCAGTTCAAAAATTATCCAACAACTTCCAAGTTTTACTTTTTAAGAAACTACTACTAAATGAACGTAGAAATAAAACCTTTATTTGCATAAATATTAACAAAACTTTATACTTTAACAATTTTATTTTGTAAATTCTTTTCACTATAACAGCTAATGAGGTAAGCATTCTTGGAATAAATAAAATACATGTGGATTACATTATATACTAAATCTCTTTGAAACAAAGTTATTTTGTGGCAAGGGTTATTAATAATTGTTTTTATTGTGGCCACTATAACCGAGTTCTACTGTATATTAGTTATGCTCGTGTACAATATTCTAATTAAAAGAAATGTTCATACATTTTTACATACAATTTAATAGACTTGTATCAGTGTCTTTTGAATACATGCAAAGTCTTTTGAGGTACTCAGATGAATAAAATTTAATTAATCAATGGCATTTTAAATTATGATAGTGGTATGATGCCTTTTCCAGTGTATTATATCTCTTTGAAGAAATTATATTTAAATAAAAAAAGTCATTTGCTACTTTGATTCTATCCATCACAGTAATTGCTATCTATGTACTGTGTTTGATAAATGACAATTTCAAGCAAATTTTTCAGATTGTAAATCACTTAGTCATCACTCAATGCTATTTGCATTGATTAATCAATCCTATATATATATATTTTAAACTAAATTCTATGAGATCACATTAATTTATGATGCTCATTGCTAAAATTTACAGGCAAAGAGTGAATAGAGAACTGATCTTTTTCAAGCACTCTGATCAATTGTTTTATCTCATCTGCATCTAACTATACACTCAACAGATACAAAATTCAAAAACCATAAAACATTTAATTTACAATTTACATGCTCTTTAGTCTAATTCAACAAATTAAAAATTATATCAGATCTAACTCAAATACTGTGGATAAATAATAAATTTTGACTATGCATTATCCACAGGGATAAGAGTTAGATATGTATCTGTACTCTTCACAAGCATTTTGACTACAATAAATATTACAGACAGAATAAGCAATTAATGGGTGTTCCAAACTTTTTCCACAAGTGCCCTATTTAAACTACAATGGAATGGAACTTTTTTACAATCCCTCAAGTAGTTAGCAATACATTCTTACAGCACTGGACTGCTAAAAATACCAAGTTAACTATTGTTTCATTTCCAATTCTGCAGAAAGTGTAGAAAATTTGGAGGAAGGAAGAATTTTTATGAATTAAATAGAGCTCAAATATTTATTAATTTTATTTGTTTGTCAAACAACCTTGTACTTTAGCACTAAATTATTAACTATCCAGAATGCTCAAAACAACTGATATGCATACATACAGTATAAATGTGTGTTTATGTACAGAAGTATATTCACACACACATATACATTTATACAGAGTACCATATGATTTGTAAAATTAGAATTAAAAAAAAAATTAATGAAATTATTTGATTTTATGAGGTAGCTTCTATACAGCTGATATAAATACTGATAGCTAGATTTTTGTAACTATCAATTTAATATCATATGGCAGACAAGAGGACACTTTTGGAAGAAGAGAAATTTTGTATTAATTTGTTTTTAAAATTTTAAATATATCAAAAACCATTTTTAATACCAATCTAAAATAATATTTTAAATATTCAATTTTGATGAAAATTTGGAATTTACAATAATACAAGACAAAACAATTTCGAAAAATAATATACATGAGGAAAAAAAAAATTATTACTTTAAACACACATCTATTAGTAGTGATGCCCTGTACAGTCAACATAAAATTTTTACAGAGATCAATGTGAAAATCAACATTTAATTCACAAATTTAATTTCTCATAGCTATCAATAACAAAACTATCCTAAGAGAAAAATATTATGTACAAAATTTTAAGCCTAAATGTAACCTATACAGCTCGTAACAATTATGTAAGATTATAATAATCACACATAATATGTACAAAAACTAATTAGTTATTTCAATTACAGCACAAAGACTAAAATAGACAATTTTATGATATTTACCTATTTATAATTATTTATATTTAAAATTGAGAAATCAGATAAAATGATGCTCATAAAAAGAGACATCAAAAATAAGATCTAGTCAACATAAATTCACATAATCACATCACAAATCTCTAATAATACAGAGATTTTAAATTTTTTTAAGAGTTTTATCTTGCACTATAAAATACACACATCTGTGCAAAAAAAAAAAAAAGAAAAAACCACTGAACAGGGCACCCTACATCTATCAAGTCCTTTATAGATATTTTAAATCATAAAATGATTCTCTTTCCCTCTTATCCAATAGTCAACTTGTATCTATATAACTGTTTCCTTGATTAATCAATCTGCCTCACTGATATAATGAAAGTGCTGACTAATTAGATGCAAAGAATTATTGGAAATATCTTTTGCATCATATATCTTTAGTGAACAATCTTGTGCACTTTCAATCAACAATATTTTAGAGGGGATAATAATTAAGTCTTCATTACTATAATTTTAAACCTGGCAGCTATTTACAGCCTGTTGCACACATACAGGCAAAATATGTTACTTGTAGTTACAGTGAAAACTGCACTAAGCTTTACAACAGACAAAAGGAAAACTTCTGATTTGGCTGGCTTGATCAAATGCCACTTCGCTTTCAATGCATTTTCTACCATCTTTCACTGTTTCTGAAAGTGACCATCACTGTACCATTTTCCATTACATTATATTACCTTCTGAAGAAAATCGCTGAAATGGCACAGCTGCCTTTTGATCCAAGTAGGAAAAACTAATGTCATGCTGTGGCAGAAGTTCCCAACTGATTTGTTGCTGTTACAGAAGGATCAACACCAGAGCCAGAGAGAGAGACAGAATTTGCCATGTCTGTTCCAGACGATCCGCCAGGACCTCCTCCATGAGGATTCATACCAGAAGAACTACTATCAACACTTCCGGGATTGTTCGATAAAGATCCATGTGGATTATTACTACTGTTGCGAATATGAGGAGGAATAAGGATGGAGTTTAAGGAGGGCTGGATTCCTAATTCTGCAAATAAAGTAAATATTTAAGTAAGTAAATTTGTTTGATTAAATAACAAAAACTTTTTAAAAACTGCAAATTTATTACTTATAAATTAGTAGAAATATATCATAAATTTTTGAATTTTATACTTCTGTATTAATTAAATATATTATGGTTTTGATCTGAAAAACTATCAATGTTTTCAATAATCAAACACCTTAAACTCCAGCACATCTATTGACTCTACAGACTAATTTTTTTGAGCACGTAATGATTCTGTAAAGACTGAAGGGTACTCACTGAACATGGTTGAAAACATCAGTCTATAGCAGGGATGTCCAACCTGAAACCCACTGCACTGTAAATTTTTTAGGTACATTTTCATTTGGGTAAGGAATGTTGTAAAAACTATTCTCATTTCACTGGATACACTTTGATGTAATGATGCAATTGGTGCTAGAAAACTGTACTACCCCACAAGCATTACATACTGTTGTGAACAATTCTTTTTGTGCATGAAAACATCAAAACTGCTGAATGAAATAGGTTGAGTGATTCCCATCTAACATTTTTAGAATAAAGACTAGTACCATAAAAGCAGATATTGACATTATTATAAAAGGAAGGCAATGTCAAAAATCGCATTGAATTTATTTTTACTTTGTGAGAGTATAATTTTTTTTACCATCAATAATACAGTATTTTGTGTAATTATACAGGTAATCCCCGTATAACACAGCACTTCTATAGTACTGATTCACTCTAATATGGTTTGAGAATTGGATAAAACCCTCGTACAACGTGAAATGTAATAAAAACTATTAAAAGGAAACTTAATCTAATTTGAAATTAGATAAAGTTCACTTTTAATAGTTTTTATTACATTTCATCTTATACAACAGTTAAATAAACATAATAAAGCTTTTAAGCGCAAAAGATACCTCATTTGACATTTTTCATTTGAGCGTGTACGTACTATCAAATTTTCCTGCATAATTTTCGTGAACTATTAGTACTTAAATGTGTAAATTTTCTTTTCCCACCTTCTGTCGATATATGCGGTCCTTCTTGAAACTTGTTTCAGTGTTGCCAGATCTTGAAGCTTCTGCTTTTGGTGTTGCCAAACGTTTTCTCCTTATTCCACACTTACTTTATTCCATCACCGGTTTTTAGGCATTGAACCGCACCTCCAACCCTTGGACAATACACACCTTACAAGTATACTTTAAGACTTTAATTGTGTCTCTTTTTTGGCTATATAGATTAAAAATTTTCAGGTAAGTACTGTAGTACTGTACTCAACCTTTTTTAAAGAAATAATAATTATGTCTTTTAAAAGACATTTCATCTCCATACAAACAAAATTACAAATTTTAGATTGGCTCAAAAAGGGCAAAAAGTTATCATATGTCGCCAAATCATTGGATTTAAATGAAGTGACAATATGGACTATAAGGAAAAATGAACAAAAAATTAGAGATTCTGTTGCTGCAGACTGTTCTATCTCCTCAAACATGACATCTTGTCCTAGGGCAGAAATAATTGAGCAGATGGAAAAAATCCTTAGCATTTGGATTGAAGACTGTTCAAAAAAGCAAATTCCAGTGAATACCAATAATATTAAACACACAAAACCTTGAAAATTTAAGACTAGTTAAAGGAAAATGGAGAAACTGCTACTAATCCAGATTTTGTAGCCAACAAAGGATGATTTGATCATATGAGAAAATGCTTATTACTACAAAACCTAAAAATAGAGGGTGAAAGTGCATCAGCCAATAAAGAAGCCACTGAAATTTATCCAATGGAATTAAAAAGAATTATTGAAGAGGATCGATATATTCAACACCAGTTTTTAATGCCAATGAGACTGCTCATTGGTGAAAAAGATGCCCAACAGGACATATATTTCTAAAGACGAAAAAGTTGTGCCAGGATTCAAGGTATCAAAAGACCATGTAACATTACTTATGTGCAGTAATGCTTCAGGCAATTACATGGTAAGACCTATGCTGGTTTATAAATCTCTCGACAGTGGCATAGTGTGGGTGTCAGCTGCACAGGGCAAAGAAAAATTTTGCCGTTCCTTATTTAGTTATCTCAATTTAAAAGACTAAAATTCAGTTTTGTCACATAATAAGTAATGAAAAATTCCGTGCTAGTGTTGCCACCTTTTTAAAATTGCCGACTCAGACGGCAGGCGAGGTTTGTTTGAACAGAAGTTCTTGATGCATGCATATGTCATTTTGCAATGCGAAGAATAATGTGCAGTGCATGATGGTTCTAAATTAGTTACAGTTAGTGACTAGGCAGACTTGGTTAGAGGTAACATAAGTAACATAGATGATTTAGCTCTATTGGATATTGGAGGTGTATATGAATACGAATGAATCGTACAAGAAAAGGTCGACAGGTTGCGCACAATATCCCCAGATAAAATTAATACTTCACTCAGACGGTGAGTTGATTCCTGGACGGTCCAGATGATAACACTGTTCTGTGCTTATTTCAATTGGTCCGAATTGTAGGTGTAGTGAAAATATGAAATGAAATGGTTCAAATTTTTACAAGTTATTATTATTATTTATTGTGAAATTTTGCTGCCCCCACTGTCTCTCAATCCTCGTGCAACGAAAAACCTAAATAAGAGTAATTTACCAGTACTGGGCAGCAAATAAAAAAGCTTGGGTGACTACTGAATTATTTAAGAAAGGGGTTTTAAACTGTTTTGTACTAAGTGTGGAAAACTACTTAAATCAGAAAAATTTAGATTTTAAAGTTCTACTTATATTGGATAATGCACCCAGCCATCCGCAAGATTTAAATCACTCAAATATCAAAATAATTTTTTACCTCCAAATATAACTGCTTTACTTCAACCATTAGATCAGGGAATTATAGCTACATTTAAAACCAATTACATAAAGAGATCATTACAATGGATTTTGAATAAAATTGATGATGAATCTATGGAGTCAAGGAGGTGTGGAAACTCTTCATAATTTTGGACTGCATTAATCCAATAAACTTATCCATCAGAGAAATAAAACTGACAACATTAAATGGTTGTTGGAAAAAAATATGGTCAGAGTCAATTGAAAGTGAAAATTTGATCGGCGACAGCAGAAAACAGAACGGATGCGGTAGTAGAAATTGCTAAGTCTCTAGGAGGGAAGGTTTTGATGATATGACTGTACAAGATATCCAAGAATTACTGGTGGAACAAGAAATTGATAAAGTAGGTTTGGTAGAAATGATATCTGGAATCTATGATAACTCAGATGTTAGCACAGGTGAAGACAAAGTAGTTAAAAAGTTTACTGTACAAAGCATAAAGAAAGGCCTAGGCTTAGCCGAACAGTTATAGTCAAATTTTTTAAATGAAGATCCTTCAAATGAAAGGAACACAAAGTTTAAAAGAGAACTTCATAAGTGCTTAGCACCATATAAAATTATAAAGATCTTTTAACTAAAAGCAAGCAATCTAAAATAACATATTTTTTGCAAAAGATAGAGCATGGATCTGAAGATAATGCAGAAAAATGCTCAGAGGATAAGAATATCTTGCCAAAAAGAAAATGCCCTCGGTTAATAGTGCTTAGTGATGACAAAGAAAACATTGTTTAATTTATATTAATATGTATCACTTCTTAAGAAAATTTTAATAAAGATATTTATCTTAATTATGAAAATATAATAGCATGTTTTTTAATTTTTGAAACCTAACCCCCCTTTTCATACTAGTTTTTTGTTTTGTATAACATGGCAATATTTTGGAACATAACTCCCATGTTATACAGGGATTACCTGTATATATTTGTTGTTAAAATTTGATATTCACATTTTGAACATTTTAAAAGCATATATTAATATAAAGGACCTTTGTGGCCTGCTGAATGTACCTAAATTTCTAATTTGGCCCATTAGGAAAAAAGGTTAGACAACCCTGGTCTATAGTCATTATATCTGATGGACTTTAATTAAGGTGTGTGATCATTGTTTTTAAAGAAATCCAGTTGAACCTTGAAAACTGTCAATGCTTGTTATCCAAATCAAAAAAGTATTACTTTACATTTTGATTAAATTTAAAATTAAATATTGTGAATAAAATTTCTCTCTATTTCAAATATAATTTAAAAATAAATGAATGTAACAACAAAATCAATTAAAACAAAAAATAATTTAGCAATTGAAGTTTTAATAAATTCATTTTATTTTTTTGTTATAAGAACTTCCAACATCTTCAAAATGTAGATGCTACTCTTAAAAATATTAATACATATTAATATTTATATGAAGAAACAAAAGTGTAATTTTTTTCCCAATCTCCAATGAGCTGCAATGCTACTGCAACAGCCATAGTAAAGAGTCTTTCAAATTGAGTGCCTTTTTTAAAAATAAATAAAAGACATAATTTGCATTGATTTTCAAAAACTTTTTATTGGTAATTGAAGTATCAGTTATGACATTTATATACGAAAAATAACATCTGACAAATGACCACCTCTTGTTGCTTCACAGTGGTTCACTCTTCTGTTAAAATTTTCTATGACATTTTGACATAATTGAGACTATTTCACTAATGACACAAATAATTTCATCCTTCAGTTCAAGAATCTATTATAGTTTTATTCTTATAGACCTGGCTTTTTACATAACCCCAAAGAAAATAGTCCAATGTTGTTAGATCACATGATCTTGGTGGCCAATTAACATCACCATTTCTTGTAATACTGTTGTAATAATTCTTCCAGGATATTTTTGTCTCAATAAAGCAATTGTTTCATTAGCAAAATGAGGTGTTGCACTGTCCTGTTGAAACTACATCCTCTAGATCAATATCATTCAGTTCAGGCCACAAAAATTCAGTTAACATCTCATGATATCAAACACCATTCACTGTTACAGCATTATCAGCAGCATTTTCAAAGAAATATGGTCCAATTACACCACCTAACCACAATGCACACCAAACAGTGACTTGTTGAGGATGTAAAGGCTTTTCATAAATCACTCATGGATTT